CAAAAAGAAGAAGGAAGGAGTTCGTTATGCACAATGTTCGGTTTGCCATTGCCTTTTAGATCCCAATCTTTTTTCTTGTTCCCCATTACCAATATTCTGCTACGTGTTTTCAATCTATAGGTATGGTCCATCGAAAAGAAACTATTCATCTGGTACAAAGTTCACGGGATCTCAAACCAAGAGTCCTATTTCACTAACTGAGGAAGCTTTGACCTCTTCCCCTTGGAGACATTTTCTGATTGTAAACTATCTTAAATTCATCTCCTTCTTGAGATGCTTCAAAATTTTATAGTGTTCATCCTCTTCAATTTCTCTTCAATCAGATTTATTATTGCAGCCTGGCGCTGTTCTAGCTGGATTTGGTGGGTTGGTATTTTTCATTCATCAAAATGATGAGAAGAGAGCTGTGGAAAAAGGTGTATTGTATTTTTTATATCTATGTAGTATTTTTTTTATGTTTTTCCATGGAACTCATTTACTTCTTATTTTCCTTTTTCATTGTTTTGCATATCTTCTTGAATGTTCCTTTCATCGTAATCCAAAAATGTGGAAACTCTTAGTGACATATTTCGTTCTGTAAGCACCTCATCTCTTTCTAATGAACTGTCTGAACTTGTGTTTGAAATTGTATAATAGGTAAGGGTGAAAAGTTCGAAAGAAGTGCCATTCAGGGACCAATAATCGGTGGCCCCTTTAGTCTAGTAGACACAGAAGGTCGTCTTGTAACTGAAAAGAATCTGTTGGGAAACTGGGTTCTTTTATACTTCGGTTATACGTCATCTCCTGATGTTGGGCCCGCAGAAGTTCAAAAGATGGCCAATACTATAAATATCTTAGGTTTGCTCTTGTTATCCATAAAAAATTCTGTTGACTGCTTCTGTTTTTTTTTTTTTTTTTGGTTCTGAATAATACTGAATTGTTTTTCATTCAAATGAGTGAAGAGTCGAAACAGAATATCAAGGTTTTACCCATATTTGTCACGATCGACCCTCAGAGGGACAACCCATCACACCTTCGTGCATATATTAAAGGTGAGTCGTTTCTCATTTAGGTTTTCTTAAATTGTCAAAAGTGTCGAATACTCAATAGCTATAATTTTAAGCATTTTTAATTGAATGTAATGATCAGAAACAGTGATTACAATTTTGTTATATGCTCCAGCTTGGACTTTCTTACACTCATCTTGCAGATGAAATTTATTTCTATTTTTTATTATCCTTTCCTTTTTATTTTCCCTGTTAAAGCTCTTTTTATTCTAATGAAATTTTTTCCAACTGAAATGCAGAGTTCAACTCGAGAATAATGGGGTTAACTGGGCCAGTATCTGCTGTAAGGCAGATGGCACAAGAGTACAGAGTCTACTTCAGAAAAGTCGATGAAGAAGGAGATGATTATCTCGTCGAGTCCTCCCACAACATGTATATATAAATACCTAACAAAAAACAAAATCTATTTTATTTCCCATCTAAAATATACATATCAATTCTTATATTTGCATTTTGATTCAAACAGGTACTTGATGAACCCGAACATGGAGGTGACTAGGTCCTTTGGCATTGAATATAATGCAGAGGAATTGGCCGATGCTATAACTAAAGAGATGACGAAAGCTAATGTTACCATCACACGGGATTAGTATGTTTTGACATATGTTTACTTGGTGTTGAGTGCCTTCATTTTAGAAACTCGGTTAAGAAATTCTTGGCCTTTCTCGCTATTTGACGACGTTAATGATTATTCCATGCAATCGAATGCTTGGTTTGTTATATTACATCGCTTTTTGATAGCAAGTCACTGAGTTTTGGTTGGCTCCTTGTGCCGGGTGTGCACGTGCGTATAGTTGGTCCTTGGAGCTTATAAAATATGAAATCAAAAATGAAGGAAGCAAAGTGTTTGGTTTTGTTTTACATGTATCTACTTGAGTGAATACAGCCTATTTCGGCTATTGGGGAAAAAGCAGTATACTTCTAATGTCGAGTTAGGATTGACTAGGACAGAACTAAAGCATTGGGTCAAACTCTTCTTTGGTGTCAAGGTAATAGCTATGTATAGTCGTCGACTTCTGGTAAAGGTTGAAGAATAATTCGATTAACCACTCATGTAGATGCGTGTGAGTGATCAAATGGTGAAAACACTGATAGATGAGTGCGTACCGTCAAAAATTATAAAAGGTACTGACCTGGTAGGGTCGAATTTTTCCAATTATATATTGAAAGGCATGCTTGTTTATAAATTATTTCATTCTCATTCAATTCATACTCAATATCTAACTCAATTTTAACCCAACTCCACTATCTTTAATATTATTTATATAATTTAATTGTACAAACCAATCATTTTTACACATCACATCAACTTTAATTCACTATTCATCCACTCACATAATTTTAACTACCTATCATTTCCAATCATTTTCAATCATTTATCTCCTACTTTTTCATCAAATCAATTCTAATCATTTTATTTTAAATATTATTTTAGTACATTCTTAAAATTCCACTAACAACTAACCATACCACCTTTTTCAAAATTAACTATGGTTAATCAAAATAACTCATTTTGAACAAATTATTCCATAATCAAGCGCCCCCTCAGGGGACGATTGGCTATACATTAAAATTGGTTCTGATTGAACAATTGTTTTGCACTTTAATTTAAAACTCTACTCGTATTTAATCAAATTCTACTCTACTCAATTAGTCAATATTATCAAATAAATTACATTAAATTTTTCACTCACACACATCACATAAATTTTCAAATACTATTCCTTTATTCATATATTTTTAATCACTTGTTATTTTCAATAATATTTTACACACTTTTACATCATATCAACTTTAGTAATTAAATTTTGAATATTATATAAGTAAAAACTCAAATATCACTCAATCAACTTTATTCCAAATTAACTCATTTAATCAATAAATTCAATTAAAATTGTCTTTTTAATATCCGTCAACCCCTTAAAAGTGAAACTAAGAATTACACTGATAATGAAATAAATATTTTTAATTTTTTGTTCTCTCTCTTTCTTACCTCATACAACTAAAATTTAAACCTCCTCTCGTACGGTCCTTATAAAAGGTATTTTTTTACATATTTTATTACGTATAAACCTTGTTTTTTCCATCATAATTTTCATTAAAAGTCTCATAAAAACATGTTTAGTTTTTGCACTGGTTAATTTCTTTAAACATTTTACCTGGCAACATAAATTGACTATTGGCAATATAATATTTCGGTATAATGTGAAATTAAATATATACCGTGCGATATTATAACTATACACACATTATATTATCGGATTACATGAAATAAAATACGTGATTGACCAAATTATTAAAGATGTATGAAAATAGAAGTCAAACTTCCAAGAAAAGCACTTATATTAAGAAGAATTAAGATACAGCTGTTGATAGGTTCAGACGTGGGTTGCTCATCTCACCTTAAAGACGTGATCTCCTCTCTAAATATATATAAATATACTTTTATATTTCTTGGTTGATTTTATGATCAATTGTTGATTTTTTGTGATTGTTTTATTACTTCAATTTTTAATCTTCATACTTCTTTCTTCTGCATAATTAGGACATCACAACTCTATTTTTAATCCTTCAATTGATTTTTTTTATTTTTTTAATTTTAAAAAACGGTCTGTATTAGATAATATATATTATATTATTATTTTTCCTTTCCTTTGTATTTTAGGCTTCAGTATAGAGATAGTATAAATAGCATTAGGGTTAGTATTTGTAAAGACATCTTGTCATTTTCTTCTTTACCGCAGTAATCGATTAGAACACTCGAGAGATAATCGGTAGAGATCTGTAAAAGGTGTGTCAGATCTAAGCCGATTAAGAACGAGATGAACTAGATCGACTAAGAGAATAAGCGAAAACGAAGAAAATTCGCAAAAAAAAAATCGCGTTCGATCTGAGATGTGATCGAAAAGAAATCAGATTAAAAATCAAGGGGAAGGCAGCGGAATCAACAGATCGTGGAGCTGGTAACTGATACCATATCCCATTCAAAACTATTTATCTCATGCACTTTTATCTGATTCTCATATGTGCTTTACTACTTCTATTTCTCAAATTTCTGAACCCAAAACTTATAAACAAGCTTCAAAAGATCCTTTATGGCAAGCTGCCATGCAAAAAGAAATTGATGCTTTAGAGAAAACCAATACATGGATTTTAACTGATTTACCTAAAAATAAGAACTGTATTGGTTGCAAATGGGTTTACAAAATTAAATACAAATCTGATGGTAGTATAGAGAGGTACAAGGCTAGATTAGTTGCTAAGGGTTATACCCAAGAAGAAGGCCTTGATTATTTTGAAACTTTTTCTCCAGTTGCAAAGATTACTACTGTCAGATTACTTATTGCTCTTGCATCCATTAAAGAATGACATTTACATCAACTAGATGTAAATAATGCCTTCTTACATGGGGACTTAGATGAGGAAGTATATATGACTCCTCCTCCTGGTTATAACACTGAAAACAAAGTCTGTAAACTTGTTAAAAGCCTGTATGGCCTTAAACAAGCTTCCAGACAATGGTTTCAGAAATTGACTTCCTGCTTACTTAATTATGGTTTTTCCCAATCTGCTGCTGATTGTTCATTGTTTGTCAAGTCTTCATCTTCTTCTTTTACTGCTCTTTTAGTATATGTAGATGACATTATTTTAACTGGCAATGATCTTTCTGAAATTACTGCAATTAAAACTCATTTGGACAATTGCTTTACAATCAAAGATTTGGGAAAACTTAAATACATTCTTGGTTTGGAAATTGCACACTCTGATAAGGGTATTAATATTTGCCAAAGGAAATATGCTTTAGACATACTTTCAGACACAGGATACTTAGGTTCTAAACCTGCCACTACTCCTATGGACAGTACTTTAAAACTCACTACTAATTCATCTTCAGAATTGGTAGATGCTACCATGTATAGGAGGTTAGTGGGCAGGCTTTTATACCTAACAATTACTAGACCTGATTTGTCTTACAGCATTCAGTGTTTAAGTCAGTTCATGTCCCAACCACATCAGGAACATCTCAATGCAGCCCACAAGGTACTTAGATATATTAAAGCAACAGTGGGCACAGGTATATTCTATCCAAGATCTTCTAGTCTTCATTTAAAAGCTTTTAGTGACAGTGACTGGGCAGGCTGCCAAGACACTAGAAAAAGCATTACTGGGTATTGTGTGTTCTTGGGTGACTCTTTGATTTCCTGGAAATCAAAAAAACAGAACACTGTGAGCAGATCATCTGCTGAGTCAGAGTATAGAGCCCTAGCCTCAACTACTTGTGAGGTTCAGTGGCTCCTATATCTTCTGACAGACTTAAAATGTTCTCATGATTTTCCTGTTTCAGTTTTTTCAGATAGTAAATCAGCCCTTAGCATTGCTCATAATCCAGTTTTCCACGAGAGGACAAAGCACATAGAAATCGATTGCCATCTCATCCGAGAAAAGCTTGCCAAAGGAGTCATTAGCCTACACCATGTTCCCTCACATGATCAAGCTGCTGATTTCCTTACAAAGCCCCTGTCCACTCAACCATTCCTCCATAATCTATCCAAGATGAACATGAATAATATCCATGCTCCTCTTGAGGGGGGATATTAGATAATATATATTATATTATTATTTTTCCTTTCCTTTGTATTTTAGGCTTCAGTATAGAGATAGTATAAATAGCATTAGGGTTAGTATTTGTAAAGACATCTTGTCATTTTCCTCTTTACCGCACTCTGTAATCTTTCCCTTCTCTCTTGTTCATCTCGAGCATAAACAATGTCCTTTTGATTCTTTTACTTAATCTTTTATATTGTTGATAGTCTGTTAGATTGTCTAATAGTTATACAATTATATTATTCTAACAAATATACATATTTTAATATTTTAAAGATACATTTTAAAATATAATATAAAAAGTTTTATTGATTAAACGAACATTCTTTTCAAACATTAATGAAAGTAATCTTTTGTCACCATCATAAGGCAGCCTATGCGGAGATTTGCTACTCAATAATTTTAACTAATTAGGAAGTATAGAACTATTTTCTTAGAATTGTTATGGTGAATGTCTCTTTCAGTATTTATTTTGCTAATAACTTTAGGAATCATGCTAGCATTAAAGATGAAATAGACATTAATATAATTAACTAGTAATCAACATGTGCATTTGCACAGAGACGAATACTTTAAAAACATAAAAATTTAAAAAAAAAATAAAAAAAATCATAATTTAAGTCATGAAAAAAATATGAATTAAGAAAATAATTCTCAAAATTGATTTTGATCAAGGAATTTGCTATGGAAGAGCCGTTACAACCATTTTCTTTATGCTAATACACCCGACCACTTTCATGAGTGGGTGTGACTTAAAATTTGAGTACAATTTTATAACTCTCTTGTTGGTTTATGCTTATAATTTATGACATTCAAGCAAGTTATTTTGTAATTTAAAAATGAAATTGAATGGTGAAAATTTTGGAGGAAGAATCTATATCTATATATATATAAAGAGGTTGTTGGAAAAATACATTAATAGAATGTTTGACCAAATAAATATAATGTTTGACTTACTATTAATGGAAAGTTCAAAAAAATACATGTGAATCTTTAGTAACAAAATCTGAATCCTATTTTTTTGGTAACTAATTTGGAGATTCTTATGGCAAAATTTGAATTTCATTTTTTTCGTATCATATTTTATTTTTTTTGCCAAAATTTAAATCATATATTTTTTGTTAATAAATTTGGAGATTCTTATGCAAAAAATGTGTCAATTATTTATGAAAACAATTCTAAATACAAATTAACTTAAAAACCGTACAAATTGGATACAAATTTTGGAAACAAATAGTTGTATAATTCTTAACCAATTCTTCAAATCTTATTGAATAATTTTTTCTTTAAAAAAAAATGTGTGTAAATTGGATAAAACCACATGTAATTTTTATTTTAGAATAAAACTGATATTTGGACGGGATGTACATTCACAATTGTGTCAAAATTTTTTGGTAACAAAAGCGGTTCACTTTTTATATATAAAAATTAAAAAAATCTTAAAATATCCTTAAATATTTAACTTATTTGAGATCAAGATTTGTTAGGTCTTTTTAAGATTAGTTATGATTTAAAAGAAAAAAACATTATACAAAATTTCACTCTAAATCTCACATTCACACTTAAGATTTCATTGTATTCCTCTAAAATTTGATCATCTTAAAAGTCTCAAATCTTAAAAAGTCTCAAAATGGCACTCAAAATTCTAAACGAATACATATTATATGCCTATATCGTCAATTTATAATTATTATTTAATATTATTTACCCGTGCATCGCACGGGCCACATATTAGTAAAATTTAATGCATGGTGATAAAATTAAATGCTTTGTTGCTCCTCTTTATATATATATATATATAGATTGTGACGATTTTATTATTTTAAACATTGAATTGTTTCTAAAATCAATAATTACTGTACATCTACATTATTATTCGTCATCCATTTATGTTAAAGTATGTGTATTTTAGATTTGGAGTCTGGAGATATTTTTGTCAAAAATAGAAATAGAAAGGGAAAAAAAAAGTGAAAATAGAAAATCAAAGACAGGATATCACTGATCCAAGAGAAAAAAACATAATATAATCCTAAAGAAACACCACATCATAAATCAAATAAATGAATAAATAAATAAATAAAAATAAGAAAGGAATTCACCTCTTTCCTCCATTTTCCTCCTCTCCAATCTGCATTACACATACAGACGAGAGAGAAAAAAACAAGAAAAAAGAGACATCCTTTGACCAAATTTGATTCGCTTTTTCTCCATGAGGCCGTGAGATCCTACAATCCAAACTAAAATCAACAAAACAAAATAAAAAAAGCCCAGTAATCTTTCTGTTTTCTCTTTATCTCTCATAT